TCCACCCACCTCGGTGGCCGTCCCTCTTTTCCCCAGCCCCAGGGCAGAAGAGCAGGCTATGGGGTTAATTGACTGGACGCCCTCCCCCAGGAGCAGGCCCCAGTCTCCGAGGTTGGTTCTTCTCCAGGCTGGCATTCGGCGGCCTGGCAGCCACAGCCCCTGGGGGTCTCAGAGCCTGGGAGCTGTCAGGCCTTCCCCTCACTTCCCCTTTGTTAATTGCAGAATACACAGATTGCGGGGTAGCACTTTCCAATCCTGTGCCTTTTCCTAGATCCTTTGCCACTTGGCAGCTTGTAGGCAGCTGTGCAAAACAGCAAGGAGCTTTCTCATTTGGTGCCAGTGTCAGAGAGCTTGGAACTCTGTTTCTATTTTCCTTTTTTTTTTTTTCCATTTCCCCCACGTGCTCTGTTTTGCTCATTTCTTCTTCCATTCCCCCTTATCTTTTCCACGACACCTTTCTGTGCTTCTCCTTTCCAGTTAGGGACTCTCCCAATGCCCAACCTCCCACCCCACCTCACCCTTGCCCCAAGAGATCAAAAAGTGAAACTTCCCACTCAGACAGGAGTTTGCAGCCAGGCAGAAGTGATTGAATCCTCCTGTCCAAATGGGAAGAGGTGGGTGAAGAGATTAAATCACCTCCCTTGCTCAAGGAAATGGGCTGCTGACCCTGTGCCCTGGGTGACAGCGAGCCTGAGTACCTGAGGCCTTCGCAAACGCCCACGTAGACGGGCATTTGCCTGCAGGTAATTGAAGGAGAATGAGGGGACTGCGCCAGCATCCCTGCAGAGACCAGCAATGAGCCGGGCCCCGTCCCCACCTCTAGCCAAAGGGCTTTTTACCTAAGGGGCTCCCCAGGGCGAGGGAGGGGTGTCTCTGGACCCTCAAGTCTATGAAAGGCCTCAGCAAATGCAGCTCTCTGGCTGTCCCCATGGTGACACAAAGGATAGAGTTTGGAAGTGGGGCTGACTGAAGTGGCAAGGGCTAGGGGACAGGCCAGGGTGCCCACAATGTGTACCGCACCCACTGTGTGCCAAGCATCTCTCATGGGCTACAAGCAGAGGCAGGATGCAGGCCCTGCGCTTGAGAAGCTGGAGCTTCTCTGGTTTCTTTCCAGTCCGATAGGGCTAACGACCTCTGCCCTTCCCATGCACGGGACGTTGTGAGAGCAATCGGTCGGATCGCTGTCCAACTACATCCATGCTGATTTGTAATTTCTGCAATTGCATTTGACCCTTGAACAACTCAGGGGTTAGGGGAACAGTCAAAAATTCAAGTACATACAAAGAACTCAAACCAATCAGCAGGAAAAAAACAACCCCATTAAAAAGTGGCCAAAAGACATGAACAGAAGTTTGTCAAGGCCGGGCATGGTGGCTCACACCTGTAATCCTAGCACTCTGGGAGGCCGAGGCGGGCGGATTGTTTGAGCTCAGGAGTTTGAAACCAGCCTGAGCAAGAGCGAGATCCCGTCTCTACTAAAAATACAAAGAAATTAATTGGACAACTAAAAATATATAGAAAAAATTAGCCAGGCATGGTGGCGCATGCCTGTAGTCCCAGCTACTCGGGAGGCTGAGACAGGAGGATCGCTCGAGCCCAGGAGTTTGAGGTTGCTGTGATCTAGGCTAACGCCACGGCACTCTAGCCAGGGCAACAGAGTGAGACTCTGTCTCAAAAAAAAAAAAAAAAAAGAAGATAGACAAATGGCCAAGAAACATGAAAAAACGCTCAACATCACTAATCATCAGGGAAATGCAAATTAAAACCACCATGAGATACCACCTTACCCCACTCAGAATGGCCATTATTAAAAGGTCAAAAAACAACAGATACTGGCATGGATGCAGAGAGAAAGGAACACTTATACACTGTTGGTGGGACTGCAAATTAGTTCAGCCTCTATGGAAAACAGTATGGAGATTCCTCGGAGAACTACCACTGTATCCTCTCCTGTGCTTCCCACCAGTAAGGACCAGAGCCAGGCTCTGCTCAGACCCCACAGGTGTGGCGTCTGTGTTCCTCAAACACTGGGCTCATACCCCGCCCCCGAAGGGCACTTCACCAGCCCAGCAACCCTGGGCAGCGCCCTGGGCTACAGATTCTCTCTCTTACCCGCTGAGACTTACCCGAATCTCATCCACCCGAGAGAGTTCTAGCTTTCTAGGGTGACCGCAGGCTGGATGCGATACTCTAATCCATGAAGGTATTTTAGAAGAGCTGATATCGGGGAGGGGGGGTCCCTTTTCCACTGCAGCCCCAGCGCTCCAGATAATATCTGTGTATTTTAGTATCAGTGCCTCCCAGAGAAACGAGGGGATTGTCGTGATGTCACAGAAAGAGCACAGGACAGCACTGAGGTCAAAAGGCAGGAGACCTTGAGCCAGCCTGTCTCAAAGGCCTCGGGGTCTAGGGCCCCTTCCTCTCTGAACATTCTGGGATGTTCCCTCTCACGGCTAGTGTGGCTGGGGACAAGCAGTTTGACCTCTTTGGAGCCCAACTTTCTCATGTTTTAGAATTTCGTTTCCTAAGGTCCCTACCAGGTGTGATTTTGTGGTAGAGATGTCAGCCCCTCCAGGGCTGGCGAGTGAGGGAAGGCTATGGCCGGAGGGAGCTTAGCCAATTTTCAAGCCAACCCGAGTAAACAGTGGGCACACTGGCCACACAGCATGTGGGGGCCTCTGCCACCGGATCCTCTCCTGTGCTTCCCGCCAGGAAGGACCACTGCCTGTGCATAGGACCAGCTGGGGATGGGGCTGCTGAACAGCCTAAGTGCCATCAGTGCCCAGTCAAGCACCGGGTCGGCGGGGTTGCTGGGGACAGCGGCAGGGGGGCTGGTGGCTCGCCTCGTGAACCCAACCCAAGGGTTTGCACAGTCTCTGCCAAGCTGGCCCCAGCTGATGAGAACAAGCTCCCTGGGGTGGAGGGGAGGGGAAGGACAGCCTTCCCACCCTGCCCGAGCCTGCACATCAGACTTTCCAGCCAGCTCGGCTCAGCACAAACCGACTCCCTGACCTGCCGGGCCCCAGCCCCCAGCCTCACCCCCTCCCTGGCCTCTCTCTGGGTGGGACCCAAGCCCGTGGGGAATTGGGAAGAAACAGCCAGCCTAGGTTGCTATTGTTTTGTTTAAACAAACCGCTGGCTGGGCTGACTTGGAAAGGAAGGAGGGGAGGCTGAGGAGCCTGGAGCAGCTGGGGCTGGGCTGGGCTTCTCTGGGCGCAGCCCCCCGGACCGTATCTTGCTAGGGTGGCCAGAAGGGCTGTTTGGGGAGAGCAGGGCTGCTAGGCCTCTGCTGGATCCTCACCTCCTGTCCTGGAAGAGATGGGCATGGAGAAGAGGGGCTTCCACCCCCCAAGCCCATGTCCTTATCCCAGGCCCAGCCTCTCAGCCCCTGGCCACACTTGGACCTGGACAATGCCAGCCCTGGGTAATGCCAGGCCTAAAATGGGGAGGGGGCAGGTAGGCAGGGCACTATGCTGAGAGAGGGGCAAGGCAGAGTCAGGTGTGTACCACTGTCCGTGGGGGGACTGAATTCGAAGGCTGCCCGGATGGGAGAATGCAAGGATGTTAAAGGAAAGAGATGTCACCCACATCAGGGAAGAAAACAAAGTATGAGGGGCTCTCATGGGGGAGGTGTCCAGCCTTCCCCAGCCTCCTGCCCCTTCTCCCAGCCAGAGGGGACCTGGACCCGTAGGAACCAGCCTGGGAAAAGGGATATCTGGCAAAGAGGCTCAAAGTGAGCGCAGTAGTAGACAAGCTGCCACCCAAAGGGGAGGAGACCAAATGGGTTCTGGGATGGGCAAGTCGGGCTCTAGTTCTGTAAAAAGGAAGCTGCAATCTATGGGCTGGGTCTCACCCTCCCCCAGCCTTCCCTCCCCCTACTGCTCACACTCTCCCCATCCTCCCACCATCCCGTGAGCACCTCTGGGAGGCTCGGGGGGAAAGGTGGCCAGGGCACAGTTAGGTTTGGCAGACTCAGTTAAGAGCCACGCTAATCACCTTCATTAAGGCTATAAAACCCCACACCTAGGGGCCGCAGGGTCCCTGGCATGGCCCAGGGCCCCAAGCCCTGGCACGGACCCAGGGCCCTGGCTCCAGTCCCTTTCATCCGAGCATCTCCCGGTCCTGCACAAACAATAATTAGCACCCGCCCCCAGGATCACCTCATTATCCCACAGACACTGAGAGGAGGGGAGGAGGGAGGGAAGGAAGAGAAGGAGGGAAACCGAGGCTGTCCCAATGGCCAAAGAAACTGCCCCGGGTTGTGGGCAGCTGGAGGGGGTGGGGGCAGAAGCTCCTCCTGCCTGCCTTCCTCTCCCAGTTGCTCAGGCGGCCACCGGCCTAATGTTCTAAAGCAGCGGTCCCCAACCTTTTTGGCACCAGGGATCAGTTTCATGGAAGACAATTTTTCCATGGACCTGGTGGGGGGTGGGCAGGGCATGGTTTCAGGGAGATTTGGCAGCGATGCGAGCGATGGGGAGCGGCTGTAAATACAGATGAAGCTCCACTCATTCGCTCACCCTCAGCTCACCTCCCGCTGTGCAGCCCGGTTCCTAACAGGCCACAGACCAGTAGCAGTCCGCAGCCTGGGGTTGGAGAACCGCAGTTCTAGAGGCTCCAAAGAGAGCGGAATCCTCCCTCCTGAGAGGACGGGCTGATTAGCAACCGTCAGCGCCTCCCTTAGGTCTGACCAGAGCCCACAGGTTGACGGTTATGTCCTGGGCCCAGCCTTGGGTGCAGATGGTGATCACAGGGCAGCCCTTTGGGAAGTGTGATATCAGGACTGCCCAGAGGTTGGGTGGTCCATCCACACCTCCAGGCCACCCTCAGCAACATCTGTGTCTGTCCCCTCTCCCTGGACCCGCTGAGGTACCCATTCCAAAACCCCAAAGCCCCATCTCCCAGGAGCACCCGTACGTCCTCCTCCTCTTCCATCCCACTCCTTCAGCAGGACTGAAGTGTGCCCAGGAGTAACCCACGGCCCTGTCTGTCTCTTATTTCAGGGCTCTGACATGAAGAGAGGGAGGATTCAGGGCCAGGAGTTAACAGGTGAGTAAGACCCTCCAGCGCCCCTGCCCCTAGCCAGGGCATCAGTGACAACCCCAAGAATCTGGAATGCAGGCCGGTGCAGTGCTCATGCCTGTACTCCCAGCACTTTGGGAGGCTGAGGCAGGAGGATCTCTTGAGCCCAGGGAATTAGAGACCAACCTGGGCAACACAGCGAGACCCCATCTCTACAAGAAAGTCTAAAAAATAGCTGGGTGTCATGGTGCACACCTGTAGTCCCTCCCAGCTACTCGGGAGGCTGAGGCAGGTGGATCGCTTGAGCCCATGAGTTTGAGGCTACAGTGAGCTATGATCACACCACTGCACCCCGGCCTTGGTGACAGAACAAGATCCTGTCTCCAAAAAAAGAAAAAAAGTCTTGACAATATAACTTCATACTGACTTCATACTGCTGCTTCGCAATGTGCAAACCCGACCCAAGAGTTTCCTTGTGTGCCCTGATTTCATCTCCACAACTGCCTCTTAAGGTCACTGTCATCAGTGTCTCCATTTTAAAGAGAATGAAACTGAGGCATAGATAGACCGACCTGCACCTGTCGCACAGCTGGCTAGCGAGGGGTGGAGCCGGCATCGCAATACAGGGGTCTGTCTGCCTGGAGAGCTTGCAACCTCTTCCCATCCCCGTCCTCCCCCCTGCTCCCCCCCGCCCCGAGTATGCCCTTGACTCAGCTTGGAGGGGATTCTCAGATGCTGAGCTGGCCCCTGGCAAAGGCCTGGGCACCAAGCCCAGCCTCACGGTCTGGCGAGGCAGCATGGGCTTGGGCACAGAGAGGCCTGGGTTCGAATCCCAGCACAAACACTTCCTGTCGGCCTGGCTTAACCTCTCAGAGCCTCAGTTTCCTCATCCAAAAAATGGAGATCACACCCACCTTAGCGAGTTGTGGGGAGGATGAAAGAGACATCGTATGTGGAGGCAGGTAGCCCAGGGCCTGGCCCGGGACAGTGGCTCAGCACGTGGGAACCCCTTCCCCTCTCCCTCAGGCCTCACGCTTCTACCTTTGGAGGTTTCGGCGGGGGGGTTCTTCAGGAGAGCCCTAGCGAGGGGGCAGTCTCCCTCTCCCCTGAGGACAGATTCCCGATTGCACAGAACCTGTGAGTCCTCACGTCAGACGTGTCCGCACAGAACTGCGGTCACCAGGCTTTGGCAGCATGGAATATGCCCACCCTTGGGTGCACTCGGCAGCCCACACGCCCGACGGCCTTCCCGAAAGCTGCCCGTCACGCCTGCGCCCCACACCCAAGCGCACAGGGAGACTCTCGGGCACCCACCATGCCGGGAAGTGTTTCTCAGTGCCGGCAGAGTTTGGGAAGAAACACCAACAGAGACCCTCCAAAACAGCGGCAGGCCGTTTACACAGCAGCTCTTCTCATGCACACATCTACCCCGGGTATAGACCCTGAACCACACGAACTCACACATCTCCCGGCACTCCTTGCTCTGTTCTCACTCTGAGCTCGTGCACACACACACACACACATCTGATCTGCAATCCAAGACTCAGGGAAAGATGAATAGTCAGGAATTCCCCTGGCTGTTGGCACCCTGGAGGCCGCAGTGGCCGGAAGTGCATGCTGAGGACACTTCCAACGGCTCCAAGCAGCAAGTCGAGCTTTTGTTTAGTGGTCAGGAGAGGAGAGGAGGGCGAGACAGCCGTAAGGCGCCAATACCCGCTCCCAGCAGCATCCTCTTTGCAAAGGCTGCTTCCCCACCCACCGCAGGCAGAGTCTTGCCTGCAGCCTGGCTCTCCTCAGAAAGGGAGGTGGAGGGAGGGAAGGGGAGTGGGAAGGGGCAAAGCACGATTGGAACGAGGCCCAACCTACAAGACCCAGGCTGGGCCAGCCACCCTTCTCTCCTGCACAGACATGGGGGAAGGATAAGAGGTGTCCCCCCACTTCTCCCCCAGGAAAGGCCAGCATCCTGGAGGGGGAGGGAAGGGTGGGACATGGGCCTTCTCCCCGATGCCCCGAGCGCCCAGCTCCTACAGCTCCCATGATCAAACCTTTGAACCCCGTCCCACCCACCCCCATAACCACTTCCAGATCCTCCAGACACAGCCAAGAAATTGGCTTCTTTGGGGATTGAGTTCATAAGGAAATGCTGAAAAAATAAATAAGTATCCACTGCCAAACACACTCGCAGAGGAAGATGGGTTTCTCTTGAGGCAGGAAATCCAGCAGGACAGACTAAAGCAAAAACAGGACAATGCCAACACCCACAGGCCCAGAAAGGCCTGGGAGCAGCGCCAGCGCCCAAGACCTTCCAGCCAGCCCAGGGCATTTCCCCTTGGACCACCTCCGCCCCCACGCTCACCTCCCAAAATATGTACTTCCTAAATGAAGATGCTGAAGGTATCTCATGGTTTGCATGGGGCAAGCCCTCAGCTAAGACCCCAGGAGCGTCAGCAGTGACTGTGGGACAACACAGAGCTCCACCCTGGGTGGTGTGGGACATGGCGCCCACCTTTCTCCTTTTTCTACCCACAGGCTACCAGCCTCCCTCCCCACCGGCACACACTGGCTTCCATCGCTACCAGTTCTTCATCTACCTTCAGGAAGGAAGAGTCCTCTCACTCCCTCGGAAAGAAAACAAGACTCGAGGTAAGGCCTGCCCGTCCTTCATGCTGCAGCCGGGGGAATCTGGGGGGAAACTGATATTTCGTGCATTCACGGGAAGCCAGGACCCTGGGCCCACCCATGAGCCTTAGAGACTGGGCTCAAAGGGCGGTGCTTCCGGAGAGCGAGCTGGACTCAGTACCCTAAGGGAGATGTGGGCGTCAGACGTGGTCTCCCCTGAGAAGTCAGTCCCCTAGACCAAAGTGGTGGCTTTAGCCCATCTAGATATAAGGCAGGGTCCCAAAGGGAGCGACTGGAGCCAGGGAGAGAAGCACCCCTGAAACCTTGCATGGCATGTGCAGGCAGCTACCCCAGAACACCTCGCAGGTAATCTACCCTGTAATTGAGTCTGATCTGGGCAAGAGGGCCCTGGAATGCCACCCTGCCGGTCTGGCTTCATTGGTGGCTAATTGCTGGGGCTGCCAGTGCCATCTCAGTGGTGGGGCAGACTTCCCCAGCCGCAACCCCCATGGGCTGCTCTGAGCAGCCCTCCTCAGCCACAGAGCAGACCCACTCCCCATGGCCTCCTAATGGCAAACCCAGCCTGTGTGGCCTCGCTCCTCCTGCCACCAGGGCCACCGCCACACACCACAGGTGACCCTCTGTGTGAGCCACGCCCCCCCGTGCCCTCACCCCCATCTGAGCCTCAGATTTCTCTTCAGGAAAATGGGAAATAAAGTAATCCCTGTGCACCCTGTCACCTCCCCAGTGTTGGGGCAGGGACGATAACGTGGAAGGCACCCACGCCAATCTGAGCGTACAAAGAGCACATCCCGCAGGCTGGCGGGAAGGCGAGTGGGAGGGTGGGTGTCGTCAGCCATTTCCTCTCACCCAGTGACCCGGACCAACCCACCCACTGGGAAGCCGGTGCAGGTATTGTTACAGCCCTGATGCCCCAGGCCCCAGGGGAGGAGAGCCAGGAGCCCAGAAAGGCACAGGTTCAGCGAAGGAGCCCGTCGATGGGTGCCAAGCAGGGGCCGCCACTCACAGACGGCTCCGGGCCACCCTGGGAGCGGGGCTGCTGCCACCTTTCCACCAGTGAACCCTCCCCAGGTGCCCCCAGCACCTTGCTAATATGTAAATCTGTTTAAATGGCTTTGCCAAGGACACACTTTTAAGTTTGGATACAAAGAGAGAAAGAAACAAAATGTGTCTTGCCCAGGCCAAAAAAAATTTCTCCAGCACCCTGGGTACCAATCTCACCAAAGATGTCAGGAAGCCTGGCTGGTGGTACCAAAGGTGGCAGCGTCTCAGCCTACAACGTTCCCCCTCCCGTGGGATTCCGAGGCCCACCAGTAGGCTTCAGGGTCACAGTGCCAGTGCCCTGGGCAGGAGCCCCCACACGGGCAAGTGCTTGCTGAGGGCAGGATGGAGGGGAAGGACAGCATCAGGTGACACCAAGCACAGCAAAAGGGGCGAGGGAGGGAAGGAGCTGTGTACACCAAAGACACTTCCAACTCTGCACACCAGGGCTCCTAAGGCTAGACTGTAGCCTAACCCCCAGGAAACACAGTGGCCCAAGTGACCAGCAAAGGGCTGACCCGCCCTCCCAGGACGCTGGTGGCAAGGCAAGGAAGCTGGAATCCTGTTGGGCCTGAAACCCACAGTTTATCCCTTTGGATCTTTGCAAAAACCACAATTCCTGTGCCCTTCCCTGCCCACTACAGCCCACCTTTTATCGATGGGAAAATTTAGACGCTGGACCTGCAGCTGGGCAGAGGCCCTTTGGCTCCTGCACCATTTCATTTGCTGCCAGAAACGAAGGCAGAAAAATGATCCCCCCAGATGAATGCTTTGGCCAAGGTGCCTGTTCTGCCGTATGATGCCTTCCACGTGGTAGCGCTATGCTAGGGGCTTCAGGGAGGGCACCAGGGGTTTTCCCTGCCCTCAAGGGGCTTCCAGTCTACTTTGGAACTGATTAAATAGCAGCGCAGAGCAGCTTCTCATTACACACGTAATTGTGTGAGTCTGACTGTAAGAACAACTGGAGATTGTGTCATATGGGAGACTCAGGGACAGATCTCTTCGATTCCCCTTCCCTCCAGGACAGCACACCCTCTTCAGCCAGGGAGGCAGGGAAGGTGTTTCATCGCAGGGTGAGGAAACCTTCACTTCCACTCTCTAGCTAGTGATCTGACTTTGGGGCAAATCAGTTAACCTCTCTGGGCCTCAGTTTCCTCATCTAGAAAATGAGGGGTTGGCTCTAGATGATCTACAGATCTCTGTGGCCCAGAGGGTGGTGGCGGAGGTGGGGCAACGGCTGGGCCCCGGGGGAGATTTGAATCCTTGAGTGAAGGAGGAGGGAGCTCTGGGTTGGGGAAACCACAGATGAACAGATTTATTAATTTTTTTTAAGTCAAAAAATGGGGAGGAGAGGAGAAAACAGGAAGGTTGTGAAGGTTCTGGAAGGCCTGGCACAGGATTGGCTTTGGTGGGTTGACTGTGGGGAGCCATTAGAGATTGTTCACCAGAGAAGTGGCACACGAAAGCCGCTCTTTGGAGAGGACTAACTGTAGCTGTGGGCAGAGCTGGCCAGAGCAAGAGGACAGGAGGCCACCAGAGGCACCCAGATGGGGGGCAGCGAGGGCCCGGCCTGGCGAGGCTGAACCCAGGGGCGATCGCAAAAGCAGAACTGGCAGCCCCTTGTACAACGTCACAACACCAAGGGCCTGGCGCTCTCCGAAGCACCTAGACAGTGCTTGGGGACTCGTGGAGCCCAGGCTGGACTGACGCTCAGGAGGCCGGGGCACAGCGACCGCCAATGAACACAGGCCCGGGGACTTGCCTTGGTCTAGTTTTCTCTCCATGGGAAAGGATTCATGGAGGGAACGGGGTGTCATGCGGGGGCGTGGTGTAATCCGCCGCTTATGTCCCCTGGGTGAACAGGCAGGAACAGCTTCTAGAGATTGGAGGGGAGAGGTCAGCCTGCAGGAGCCAGGTAGAGGAGCTTCTGTAGCAGACAGGCGGCTGAACAGAAGTGAGCCACAGGGCGCTGTCCCTGCTTGCATGGGTGCACGGTCCCGCTGGTGGAGCCCTGTGGCTAGGTGGAGCTCACAGAGAGAGTCGGGGAAATACTCAGACAGCTCACACATAACCAGGTCCCCGGTGGAAGAGAGGCAGGGGAGACCCCTGAAGCCAAAAGAGCCTGAACTGGTGCCTCCGATAAGGGCTAGCCCAGTGTCACCAACATTTGTCCCAAAGGCCACAGTTTGCCTTCTTAAGTTTGGAGCATGCGTTCACGCAGGCCTGTGAGTGGACTGGACTGCCACCTCTGATTCCACGTGAATACCCTCCCAGCACCACCCCCACGCCCAAAGCCCAGGATCCGGCCTCTTGGCTCACCCGTGATTTGACACCAACCCACTGAATGCCACTGTGGGGATATGTCTGAAGAGGCCGCCACCAGCAGATTCATTCGCACCTCATGCCGCACGCCCTTCCAGGCTGCCAGAACACCCCTGAGCCCCTGGTCACCGCTGGGCATCCTGTCCTCCCTCCCCAGACCTGCCACGCCTCACCCACCTTCGTTCACCTGCCAGGCTCCTTCCGCCACCACAGTCTCCAAAACGACCCACGGAGCTGTCTCCACTCGGCCAGGCCCTCTCCCCCTGCCCCACCCAATGTAGCATTTGCTCAAGCCCCAGACGTCTGCTTTGATCTCTTCCATGACACTGGGTCATTTTCCACTCACGTTGGGCCTCCCTCCGCCATGAGACCACGCATCCCTCGAGAGAAGCGCTCACCGCCGTCTTCTTTCCCTTTTCTCACCTGTCCCTGCGCCAGCCCGCTGTGGGCTTTCAATCAGTGAGTGTCTGTGTGGGGGACACACCCACGTAGCACAGCCACAAGCCATTCACACACACGGATCTGCACGTTCTGACACCCTCACGGTCACAAGCACACGTCAGCTTCCCTCGGCAGCCTCCTGTGCGAGCACTGCGCACAGTGACAGTCTGCATCCACGTCCTCCCCGTCCCAGCAGGGCAGGTGGGGCGTCTCCACCAGCCTCTCTGCCAGCCTTCACCTTGCCAACCTTGCCAGGTGGGTGGGACAGCAGCCATCAGCGCCCCCAGGGCAAATGAGGAAACTGAGGCCCAGAACAGTGAGTGGCATGTTTGACCAAGGGTCCACAGTTAATAACCAATCAGCTTTCTTCTGACTTCCATGGAAGGGCTCATGGCACCTGTCACCACCTGGCCCAATTTCCTCTCCCCTGACCTGGACTACAAGACCGTAGGCTGGTGTAGGGACAGACAGGGAGCAGTCGCATCCTGCCGTCCTGGGCCTCCTTGGCCGGCAGCAGCAGCCACCTGAGGCGGTCCCCCCCACACACTCCCCCTTCCCTGGCGAAGGCTGTGGCTGAGCCCCCTGGAGCTGTGCTCTGCGCCACGCCACACCTCAGCCACCTCTCCCAGACGTGTCACAAGCCGGCCTCACGCTCCTCTTAGGAGCAAGCCAGGGAAATCCCCTCTCTGCTCCAAGCGAGGACATGTGGGCACTTGCTCCAGAAGCCACTCCAAGGCCATGAGCCCACGACGGTGCCGCAGTGCCTGGAACTAACGGGCGAGAGAGGCTCGGTCACCACTTCACAGGGGCGGCCTGAGGGCCTTCAGAGGGAAAGCTCGCCGTTGTAAAACGGGAAGGGAAGGACAGGGAAGGGTCCTCTTCAGGGGTTCTAGGCCAGGCAGCCATTAGCCACTCCCCAGTACCACGGGGAGCCACCCGCCCACCGGGGTCAGAGAGGAGAGACGGGCAGGGACTTGCCACACAGTGCAGCTGAAGTCTTGCTTGTGGCTTCTGAGGGCTGCAGGGCTCCGTGGGTGAGAGAGACAAAGGGTGTCGCGGTGCCAAGCACACGGAAACAGCAGAGCCGCATGCCGCACTGACAGGGGGAGGCGCTGACACGCAGGGAAGGCTGGAAAGAACTCGAGGAAATCCACTGGGCCTGGTGGCAGTGCTGGGGCACGTGGTGTCAGCAAGTGTGG